CTCGTATAGATGTCTTATAAGGACAATTATATTGCATTATATAAATAAAATGTTTGAAGCATTGTCACGATCGATTCTAAAGATAAAAATTCTAAAAATAAGGGGGGTAAATAAGAAATATGGTCCAACACCAGAAGAGGTTCAAGTAGTTGTTGAAAGTGAGATATCTTACCAAATTATGTCGTCATGAGAAGAAAATAGAATCAAAGAGAAACAATTGTTGAAAATAATTTTGTATATGATATATCGTTTCATATTATGAATATCATGAATATTGTAATAAATTCATTGAATTATAACGATCGAAGAAATAATTGGTTAAATAAAAGGATGAATCATAGCAAATTGAACTTACCATAGAAATTTGAAATTTTTGGACCTACAGTCTGAACACATAAATTTGAATATTTATACATAATACATGACCCTGAACATAATGAAGCTACGACTAGTATAAAAAAGATAAATTATCCCGTGGTAGATGCAATTATAAATTTGTATCTTGTTATCCAAGCAATACATGTATAATGAATGTGGTTATAGTCAATCAATTTGACATGATTGTTAATACTATCTCTGAATGATTTAATATGTTTGAAACATAAAATTCAAGTGATATTATCATGAGGATCGTAAATAAGCATTGTACTCTTTTTTACTTGACCAAAATTTTGTCTCATTGAATTTTTCTAGAGATGTTTTTACCAAGGCAACATTTGTGTGGACTCAAAAGAATAATGTACTATTTTTCATCCATTAGGTTTTCTCTACAGGATTTTTCTGATAATGTTCTAACGAGATATTTTTTGTGTAATGTATGTCCATAACGTAAAAGAAATTTATCTTCAAAATAACATTCTTATATGCTAAAAATTGTGTACAACTCCCGAGGTGTTCAGCAACAAAATCTGTTTTTCAAGCGGATCATAATGCTAGTAAAAGTCAAATAAGGATAGATAATATACCATGAACGAGAACGATATTGCTTGAAGGTTATAACCAGACATTTTGAAACATACATCACTAGAATTATGATATTAAATACATTGACATACAAAACATGAAAAGCTTGATGCAAGGATTTCATTTATAGACAATTACTATACAAACAGTCATCAAAAGGGGAGTGTAGTAAAATTACGATTGATGTCTATAAGTCTCATCAAGATAATTAGATAAATCACTTACTTCAAAAGAGTGTATTTTATTCAAATTGTAACTTCTATTGTAGCCCTACAAAAGTGGATCACAATTATAATAAAATACACACAAATCTATTGCCCCTTTCTATTATTCTCTTATATTTTTCTTTCTTTCGATTCATTTTCTAACAACAGAAAAGAGAGCCTATTTAAAAATTGTTTTAGAGAAAAAAAAAAAAAAAAAACTTATTTGGAGAAAGTTTGAATTACCAAATTGTCCTTGTCCCCATCCTTCCTTAAAAAGACAAACAAACAAATAAATAAATTATAAAACAATAAATGAGCAATAACAATCATACAAGACTTATGTGATTTTGCAATATATCTTTATTCAGTGATGAACTCTAAATTAAATCTCTATTATAATAATAATGAATTCAGAAAAGCATAGCGAGTGTCTCAAAATATTAACTATTATCAAAATAAATGATTTCGAAAATTAGAAAAAAAAATTACCTTGTCTCCCTCTCTAAATTTTCCCTCTATTTTTAATTAATTTTCTATGTTCGACATTTCCACAACTCTTCTTTTCAAGGTGTGTTTGATGAATATTATCAAGGAAATAATATATTTTAAATAGTGATACGATGAGAAATATTAAAAAGTAAGGCAAAATTATTAATGTGATGAAAAATATTAGTTTATTGAAAAATGTGTGGTTGAAAATGAATTTTAAAAGAATGTATTTTTAAACAATGTGTATCAAATGGTGGCTCAATAACTCGTCAATGAGGATCATGACATTGGTGGAAGGGAACCGGGAGACAATTCCCCATCTTCCGCATATCTTGCTCAGCCGGCATGATCCTTTCACTTGCAGTCCATTTCACCTCACCTGGACTATGTAATTTGCACGGGAAATTTCACAAGACATATATTCTTTCTGAATTACGTGTAAAGTTCAATCAAGCCTACTTTACTTTTACAAGACGGAGCTCGAATGAAATAACGCGAAATAAAATTTAGATTAATCATGACTATCATCAGGAGGCATAAAATCATAGTTAGTGGCGAATTTGAAGTGATGAAGAGGACGGGATGACCGTAATTGGAAGCTAACTCAAAAGCCAATATTTCAAAAAGGAAAAGTAGATAGAGAATCATACTTTAGCTGATAGAATAGACAGCAATTGAACAAACTTAAAGCTGATAGAATATCAATGAACAGAGAAAGTCATTTTTTCTTTTTCAACTGTCCTCATTACGATTCTAATGAACAGATTTCTCATGTTAATGCAAGTAAAAAAAAGTTAGTCGTTTCCATTAGCACAACATTAATGTACCATCGACAAACTGTTCTGGGGGTGATTCCAGCATCTGCGATTCTTATGGAATAAGTGTTGAGAATAGAAAATTCTAATAATATTCCATGGAGAGAAATCAATTTTTAGAATGAAATAAAGAGACGCAACATTTATAGACGTTCGTCTTAATGTAAGATTACGTACTCTTCCACCTCGGTAGTAATTGAGTATGATGAAAAAGGCTTACAAGAGAAATTTGCACACCAATTTTCTCGAACCTCTTTTTTATGATGAATAAGCTGAATGATGGCTCCCTATTTATAAGATAAATTAGGGCAAAACGTGACACCCATTTTCTTTCTCATTTTTTTCTCTTTCTTCATTTCAACAACACATTTTATCAATAAAATAATACTACATATAAACCCAAAAATTCTCATTACTTTTTAACCACACATTCTTCCATCAATCATTATTCCAGAATTTATTTTTTCTCCAAAATGAGTGTCAAAAAGGGCTAAAATATTCTCAGTCTCAAATTTCTAAGATGAAATTCTAAGTTGTTCTTAATGAAATTTTGTTCCGAGAGCTCTGCTTGTGCACCCCAGGAAGGCCCCCTTCCAACTCCCATAACAACCTCGCCGCGGAGGTGGATCGCTAGTGATTTGTGCTCGATTTTTGAGCTAAGTACACTTTTTTTGAGAGCTTCCACTATAAGAATATTGTAGTTTTCCCCCTTCATTTCTCTAAACACCAACCATATAAAACCTTTTATGTCGTAGAATTCGAAAACCTAACATACTTAACCCTTGTATGATTGCCATTATTGAGAAAAAAAATGATGTTTTGAATAATGATTTTTTTGGAGAATGCATAATTAAAAAGTAAGGAAATTTTTTTAATTTACGTGCAAAATATTTTATTTTGTGAATATATGGTTGAAAATGAGAATAAAAATTAAATAGTTTTATTTTAAATAGAGACGCATGGACTTAATATTGAGATCACATGTATTCGAAGTAAGAAGTACATTTTTATCTCCAACACAATCTAACAATGAGCACATTGAATCATATTACTTAGCGCCTATTGGACATCCTTAAAATCTAAAAAAACAGTATTTTGAATAGTATATTTTGGAGAAAATGTGGTTAAAAAATGGGGAAAAGTTTTAGGTTTACATGTTGAATATTTTATTGTGTGAATGTGTAGTAGAAAATGAGTATGAAAATAAATTAAATTAAAGTAAAGAATGTCAAACAAGAGCTCAGAGACTATGCGGACACTGTTTAAACCCAGTTTTATCAATTATTTGTGAAGAATTTATAATATTCTATTAAATTTCCGTCAAAGAGAATTAATTTCAAACTTTTATAAAGACCATCATGAAGTAAGTATATTAATAATGTTTTCATTATCATAAATTTTTTATGTTGAGATTGTGTCTCTGTTACAATTTTAGTTAAGGTAGACTCTGATACTTTTTATTTAATATTAAATAGCTTTAAAAGTTAAGTATTGATTTTATACAACATATTTACAATGTTCAGAGTCCTATGATTATTATTATTATTATTATTCCAGAAATAACGTTTTCGTGAGGTTTGACACAAGGAAGGTCCAAGAGATGAACGGCTCAGGTGTATCGGTCACATATCTTAGGAGGTCCATTCTTTTATTTTTTTATTTCATTTTGTTTACATAATTTTTATATTTATATTATGTGTGCAACTATGATTTCCATTTATTCCAAAACCCTTGGGAAGAAAAACTTTTGAATGTTTACTCTGATTTGAGAGCCTAAATTTAGTGTTCGACGTGTCTGAAAATGTTGGGTCATGCCCTCGGGTTTTCATGTGTTGTGTCTAATGTCATGTGTTGGGTCAACCTGACCTCTCCATCTTGTGAGTCTCTCTCTAGATCCCCTAGATCACTCTTTGAGTCGATCAAATAAATGTGTAATACACTACATATTTATAATCAATAATTCCTAACATAATAGAAAAATATAATACAAATAAGAGTTTAACACAAGATGAAGTCCCATTACAATAAGTTAAACTAATAATGGAGTGTTTAAGCCCCTATTTGGGCTCCTTCATTATTTCAATTTATAATGAGAAGAATATTATTTTTTATTGGATAATGTGTGATTAGAAAAGAAGGAAATTTTTTTAGATTTATGTCTAATATTATTTTATTGAAAAATATGTAGTTGATAAGAAGAGAGAGAAATAAATTTTAAGTTCAATGTACTAACAGAGGAACTTGTGTGAAGCTGAAGAGATCATAAAGTGATAACTTGAATATCAGCCCCAACAATGGTGCACTTTACTCTTGAGTGACCCCTCCGAGAGGCAATACCAACCTTGACTGAGGAACTTTTATTGCTGAATCTGATACTTTTCTTACAATTTCCTTCTTTTTTTTTGTTTCTCATGTAGGCGAATTTCAAGCTTGTTAGACTATATAAATATGAGAGTATGCATTAGGGTTTTTATCGTTGTATCCTAAACATATATATCTTCGTTGTTAAAAATAGTTGCCTAGTGCAATGTCACAACCACCTCGTCCAGCATGGGCTCGTTTCCGTTTTATGACTCAAGCTACGCAAAATTTTGCAGCTCCTGCCCCAGTTACACAGCCAGCTCCTGCTCCTACTCCTACTCCTGCACCACCTCCAATCCAACTCCTGCAGCCACGGGCACCATTTGGTCAGCCGGCGAGGACCCCGGCAGTACCGTCTCAGGAAAGTCAGCCTCGGGAGCCTACTCCTCCACCCTCGCCGGCTAGATCTCCACCGAGGTCTCCTGTTGCACCACCTCCTGCTGCTGCACTGGCCAGATCTCCACCGAGGTCTCCCGTTGCACCACCTCCTGCTGTTGCACCGGCCAGATCTCCACCGAGGTCTCCCGTTGCACCACCAGTTTCAATTGCACAGCCAGCTCCTCCTCCTCCTCCTACTACTACTCCTGCACTACCTCCAATCCTACCCCTGCAGCCAAGGGCACCATTTGGTCCACTGGCGAGGACAACAACAGTGCCGTTTCAGCTAAGTCAGCCTCGGGAGCCTACTCCTCCGCCCTCACCAGCTGCAACGCCTGCACCACCTCCTGCTCCTGCACCGCCTGCATTGGCTAAATCTCCACCGAGGTCTCCTGTTGCACCACCAGTTCCAATTGCACAGCCAGCTCCTCCTCCTCCTACTACTACTCCTCCTGCACTACCTCCAATCCAACCCCTGCAGCCAAGGGCACCATTTGGTCCACTGGCGAGGACAACAACAGTGCCGTTTCAGCTAAGTCAGCCTCGGGAGCCAACTCCTCTGCCCCCACCCGCTGCAACACCTGCACCTCCTGCTGCTGCACCACCTGTACGGGCTAGATCTCCACCAAGGTCCCCTGTTGCACCACCAGTTCCTGCACCTTCTACCCCAGGAAGGTCTCCGTCGCCACCTCGGGAGACCACTACTTCTGCATCAAAATCCCCAATCATCAATACATTGCCAAATTCTCCTGTCCCAAAAGAACCATTAAATCCCACAAATCTTCGGGTTCCATCTTCTCCAATTCGTGAATCTCCTAAAACAGAAAGACAAGCTCCATCCTCTTCAATGCCAGCTTCTCCAGTGCCAAAACCAGTTGTAACTGCAGCCCTCGAATCATCTCCAAAAACCGTCAAACCATTGGAAAAAACTCCAGTCCAATCCCCTAATCCGAAGCCGGTAGCTCCTCCTCCATCTCCATTCACACTACCTCCATCTCAAATTAAGCCAGACAGTGAACGCGAATCAAAGATACCTACTAAAGTTGACCAAAAAGACGTGCTAGTGCAAGAAACCATCGAAAAATTACCAAAGCTAATGCGAACAAATTTTCATAGCAGTAACATTGCTTCCAATGGAAAGCAAGAATTACCAAAAGAAAAAGTTCCAAACAAGAAGATTTCTGATTCTGAAAAGTTGGGTATGAGTGTTATAACACTTGCAGGTGATAACAAAGGAGCTGTAATGGAATTAAGTCCTTCCCGCAATAAAAAGCATTCTATAACCAATCCTCATAGCCTTCACAAGAACGGAAATTATGCTAAACTTCAGAGTGAAGGCGAAAAATCGAGCAGTGATGAAGAAGGAAAATCAAACAACGAGAAAGATAAGAAGGCAATGGTAATGCCATCACCACCAATGACTGCATATGTGAACAGCAACGTTCAGGGAGTAAACAATTCCATTTTCTTCAATGGTTCTTCCACTCATCAAAATCCAGGAGTTCATCTCTCTATCAACAGAAAGGAAAATGTAGGCCATGGAATTCACCTTAAGGATCACCATGCATAATGCTTCATAAAGCTTTAAAGAAAATAAAAATAAACTCAAGAAACGGATGGCTTCCTTTCCGTACTTTAGAGAGTATCCGCTTTTCATGCTTCATTCTGAAATATGTCATGAAATAAAACTTGGTTATTAATTTGAGTGATCGAAAATGTTACTGAAATTAAAGGCCATGTATTCCTATTCTCCAACTTTCAATTTAATTGTATTCTAGTGTTTCCTTTAGTGGAAAACGAAAGATATGCTGTTCAAATAGAGGAGATGAACACCTCAATTTTTATTTATTCCAACATACAGAAATACAGCAGATGAAATCCGTATATAAACGAAGGAAAGAGGGAAAAATCAAAAACAAACTTAACAAACTATTCTTATTACAAAGAAGGACCTAAACTAATGAAGACGACTAATTAGGTCCCTGAGGAATAATTTGCATAAATTCGGACAT